CACCGTTTTCACCTATTCCGGCTTGGAACTCCGCCAAACTGCTACAGTACTCATTGAAAAACTCGATTTCTGCTTCGCATAGATTATTCTGAACGAACAGTCAAATAGGAAGAGCAAAAACAGGTATGCTGTGAATATAATACCTTCACTGACGCTGGTAGTACCCCTCCCAGCCGCCAACGATACGATCTTATCCTCTCGGCGCGAGCATGGATATATGCTAAGCAGCACCTCTAAAATTAGAATATCAGTTTTGACAATAAAATCTTGCATTGTGGTTCGATTTTCGCTAACTCTACATGGGATAAGGCACTTTCTCGAAAGGAATAGAACGCAGAAAGGTTGCCCTAATGAAGAATGCCATCTAATACAAGACATAGGTCGAGAAAGAAAAATTGGGGCACGGTCTAACGAGCGCATCAGGAAGCAAACAGGGTTGTTGTGTGATGCAAACGAAAACTAACTGGTGAATTACGATAAAATAATGAAATCTAGCAGCTGATATTTGAAAGTTCTGACCAACACGTTTAAAAATATGGGAACCCGAAGATTCTCACCCGAATATGCTGAAGGGCCTCATTCCGACAAATCATCACTGCTTCGAGTTCCCGGCTTGCCCGTTCACCTTGTGACCGAAGACGTGTTCTAAATGTAGAATGGACTTCATTGCAGCTGCAGTGGTTCAAAATCAACACAAACTATCCCAGGCATAGGAAGTTAGACGACAGAACAGGAAAACAATTCACCCGTAAACAAACCAAAAAATACAAGTAACCAATGCAATAATGCAGCACATTTGATAGCTCTGATCAGGTACTTACGAGGAGGTGATTATGCTCGAAAGTGAGCTTTGGATAAGTTACGCAGTAAAACATTATGAGTAAATTGGGGCGTGGCACACCATCCCAACTGTAATAACCCTGTACTGATTGCTACTGGAGTATTCTTATATCGGCTCAGGTTGGCCCGAACCCCGAGGCCCATGAATTCAGTTTACTTGAACTCGGAATAAGACATTTTGCGATGTGAAACTCTCCTTTATGTAGAATCGGCGATAAAGGAGAGCATACAATCGATCTGGAAAACGCGAATATTTGGAAAATCGGGGGCAGGAAGGGAAAGGGTTGGCCGCAGTCACTAAAGCTGCGTTCACACTTGGTGTCAGCGTACGGCAGCGTTTCGAGCGTATGCCACCGCCAGCGACTAGGAAAGTTTAGGTATCGATCTAGCGTACGCCAGCGTACTGCAGCGTTTTAAGCAACTAGGAAATTATCGATATCTTTCTAGCGAACGCTGGAATGATATCTATACTTTTCTAGTCGCTGGCGCTGGCGTACGCTCGAAACGCTGACGTATGCTGACGCAAAGTAAGAACACAGCGTAACAAAACGCGGATCCTCCACATCGATACGCACGGAAGTCTTCGTTTTAGGCGTGTCAGGGGGAGGGGTTGACGCGACGCCAGCCACCAGTTGTTGATACTTGCCCGCTTCAGCAATTTTTGGGCACAGCGGGGATTCCCGCTTACAAGTAAGCACGGACACATTATAGACGAATGATATAAAATCACTTACACGCATTCGTTATTCTGATTATACAGCTCGTTCATTTTAGCGATACATGCTCTCATAGCTTCTTCCTAAAAAAATTCGCAACAGTTACCATACCACATGGGCATGGAACTTGAAGCAGAAAAAAACCTACATTGTAAGGTGGCATAACGTCGGGATTTCTTTTCATCTGTGTGAGAAGAAGAAGAGCCTGATCCGCAACTCCTTCCAAATTGTCATTATCTGGAGCCATTCTGAAAAAGTGAACATTCTTAGCGCGGTACTCCTACACTGACGATCATATCAATTTTTCTGAAGATCGAAGAACAGAGTTGTACTGAAACAAGCAAAGGGTTTCATAGCACCATCAACATTCACTACAAATTGCGGATATTTTTGAGCATATGTCACCTGATGGGAAGGCATGAAATGGCACTTTTCCGAAGAGGAGGCTTACCACGCAGGCGATACGGGAGTCAAACCCCGGACTGGCTCTCGCCCACGCCAACAAACTCCAGGGGGCGGCGAATTGTTCAGATTCGTCTGGGAAGATAAGAAACACTGACTTAATATACTTGAGCGGTCCCTCAACCATATAGATATAGAGCAACAATGCAATAATAATAAAGAAGCCACTGCGATTCAGAATGGAAGTAGAATGCGTGCCGCATCCCGCAAAGGGATTGAGGGCTCAACTCCACGATTCTGAATCGAAGTCGAGAGCGTGGCGCACTGACGCATCCTACATGTGGTTGTGTCGGACACTGCGAAAGGATCGGAACTGATCAGCGTTCATTCATTTTGCTCTCAGCGTTTTGAAGTTCTCATTTATGACAACCCGGACATCCGTTAACATAATTGATGGGCGGATACCACTCCTTATCCCTATGTCGCTCACACACCTGCGTCATAGCTTTTTTCCCGACAATACCAATCATGCAATAATGTAGCAACGTCACAACAGAAAAAAAAAGCTGACGGAGCAAAAAGGAAAGTTAAATAAATTCTGTAGCCCACGTGTGTGTCTTTGAACGTTTCTATTCGCGCTGGCTGGTGTACGTGACTACACGACAGTTTACAGTATCCTGAAAAAATCCGTGCGATAGCTTCTTTGGGGAGGGCTGGCGAGTGTGTCATTATTTTGTTCAGTTATATTAGCTGAGGAGGGACCTTGAGAGCGTGAATTTTTATTCAAATGTCAGGTTACGTCATTTTCTGTGTCAACGAGATTCTCCCCTAGCCGCTTCCACACAATTTGTGGATGGCCTAGGAGTTTGTGGACTAGATCTTAACCAAGGTCAAGGGGTTTATGCGAAGCAAAAATCTTGGACACTTACTGACCGTAATTTTCATGTTACTGAGGCTAGAGCGTCGGAATGGGGAATTTTTTTCACTTGTTAGGACCCCTTGCTCCGGCACCTGTCCAGTGACTGACGTAAGATTCACTATCGGAAAAATATGACGGCTATTTAACCTAGGGAGATGTGCAATGCATTATGATTGCCTCAAACCAACAATGAAGAAGTCCTCAATCAGCCGAATATGGTACAGCATCGGGACGGCTGAGATGGCGGTGTCCGGCCCCCTTCCACAACTGGTCTACCATCTTAGCAGATATTGCCAGAATTTTGCTGTAGAGCGGACAAAATTCTGACCAGGAAAGGTCATCAGGTCAGCCGGCCATCTCCAATGACCTGCACACCGTTGTACGCGTTGGGACGGTGAACTCAAGCATGTTGTTTCAGAATTTGCCAGAAACGATTCTCTGAACGAGTTATGGGGGTTTCAACATGCGGTATCCCGAAGAAGAAACGCATGGCTGAGCGTCTTTACATTTATGTATGGAGTCGTTCTGAAACGTGGTAGACGGGTAGGGAGCGGGTTTCTTAGGCGAGACGTCGTAGATCGATTCCGGGGGCAGTCCTGTATATTGTTTGTATTTGATCCAAAAACATAAGCCGAAAAAGCCTCTAACATCTCTGCTTCGCCTTGCCACTACCCTTATAAAGGCGAACTCGCTATCTTGTTTTTTTTCAACAGTGTTGACCATTGTGGCCTGAAATCTTGCTTCTGCTTTTACCCCTCGTAACACGTGTCACAAGGGTTTTTGCAATGAAATACCATCATATTCATGTTCAGCGGGTTAAATTACCCCTGGGGACAAGTTTCTAGCCGAATCTGATTTTTCGACCTCACTTGGAAAATGTGGGCTATTCCATGGGTAATTAGCAGCAGATTGGAGCTCACCTACCATCGATGACTGGTCTCGGAATGGGATTCCCTTCGATAGTCGAGAAAATGATGCAGACGGCACAAATAACTAAGTCAGGTACCTGTTGTTCGGACGGAAGGCGTTACTATAACGTGGCTGAATGAGGATACTTCAGTTCGAGACCAGTATCAGCCAGTATGCTGTCATAGTATTCGCTTACCAGCCATGACTATCCATACCCCATTTTTTCGAAGTTGAGTCAGAAGCTCAGATTTCGCTAAGGTGACGTCCCTAGGGGTTATTTGACCCTCTGAGCACGAATATGATACCTGTTTTGCGCGAAGAGCGCTGTGAGTCGCGCTACATGTGCCAACGGCACCAGCGCGCCTGTAAGAAGAAAAACAGTAAAGCAACCTCCATAACTCCGCTCAGAGAATCGTTCTGCAAATTTTGAAAACATATCTGAGTTCACCGTGTCAGGATCGAGTAACAGTTGATGGCATTACTCATTGCAATGATGGACCAGGCTGAACTCCTGCTTTTCCTTTGGTGGAGAACAGATACATGACGGGTATATAATGTCTCTGATCAAGTCATAAATAGCAATGTTGTTGTGCATCGCCCCAAACGGGAAAAATCACGAATCTTTCGAGACGATACGCGACTGCTTTGAAGGCCCCGAAGCCACTGTATGCCTTCACAAGTATAGATGGTAGTTGGATGCATGACACAGTCCAACAAGATTCCGAGCACTTTTTTATTGGAGGAATGTGGCATGCGGCACCCTCACAATTAGCTCTGCGCAATTGACAGGTGTGTTGACAGAACTGTGCCCGGATCATTCCGTCCTCACAGTCCTTTTATTTGATTGGGAAAGACCTCCTTCGAAGGGTAGAAGTGATTACCTCACAGTCATCTCTGCTTCCGAGTCCTGCGTCTTTCATAGATTGGAGGAAAGAAAAATCAAACGATCCGCCGGCAAGAGCCGCTGCCAACTGTTTGGCTCTCCTGATTATTTGATTGTTGTTTTCACATTCACTTATCACTCAAGTTGAATCTAGGGCCACTTCTGAACTAGACAATCCACGGTATCCATCAGCCTCCTCAACAGATGCGCTCCAACGCCGTCGCGTCACGGTGCGAGCGGCCGTTGCGTGTCTACTGATTACTGTAGCTAATGACTGCCAACGTTGCTCTTCCTTTCTCATTTTACTAAATTCTTCTGATTCGCTGCACTTGTTTCAACATTTCTTCTTTGGTCTTGATACAACAACTACCCGTTTCTACTATCGTAGGGCTTAGTTTTCGTGGGCCAGAGTTGATTAGCAGTGCTACGAGTATACTGGAACACGTCAACTTCAAAACTCCAACTTCTTTTTTTCACTTTGTGTATTTCAGGTGAAACGAACAGGGAGCGGCATTTCAAAAAATGTCGCTACTGATCAAATTCGAATCCAAGTCAGCCAGAGTCAAAGGTAAGACATAGAATTGATTCGAAGGGAAAAAATCTCTCAGTAGTTTAAGAAACATACGCTTAGCGATTTCCGGTAGTTCTTCTTACATTCTGGTCCGGTAAACACGGGTGGTCGTGAAAACATGGTTAGGTCACAGGAGGGGAAACCCCTAGTTTGAAATGAGTAGGTAGGTCATCTAGATAAATCACACAGAATGTAGCTTTAGATACCTTGAGGTATCGTCAACAGGGTAGAGAATCGCTGGAAGCATCTCATCAGAGGTGGCCTACTTGGTCGCTTGTCTTTTCGCAAATTTCATTTTTCTTATTTCTTGTTTGCGACACTTCTCCCCACAACTCCCTAGTTTGGCGCCGCCGCAAAAGTACTGTAGATCTGCATTTCTGGTAACTGGAAGTATAGTTGGTTAGTGACGTCCTCCTCCTCCACCCACGCTCGGCGGCACTTTCGGGGGAAGTACTGCAAAATTTCCGGAATTGGGAAAGTTCAGGAAGATGGCACGCAGGATGGGAAAGGGAGCTCGTAGTGATACTTTCATGATACACCGCAATTTCACACAACATGGGGCTCTGCCTTATTAGTGTTCGCCAAAGCTTATTTAGCAAGTTACAAGAGTGAGGCAGTCAGATACCAGGTTCAAAAGAGTTTTCCTAAGCGCTCGTTTGGGTATATTTGACAATTCAACCGCTTACTAGTTCTCGTTTTGTTAAGTTCTCATAATGTCTTTGCTTTCACAAAGCAGTGAGAACTAGTTTTATTTTTTTGTCGCCATTATCTGTGATACTTGATGATACACAGCCTTTGTTTTGCGAATTGAAGCTTTTGTTCACTTACAGGTTTAGAGGGACTACGGTGATTCAAATCCTACATAGGGAGTTTTTCACAACTTTCTCTCTACACGTCTCTTTACTTTTTTGTTGTGAACGGCTTCGCTGAGGAAAGATACGAAGGTTGCGGTTCGTGGAGGTGAAGATTTAGCCTGAGCCCTGAATCCGGACGGGGTCGGTATTCGAAAGCCTTCGAGCAAGATTGGGAATAACGTCATTCAAATGGAAATTCTGTCTCCTACCTCCTCACTGCGGGATCCCAGTTCTAAAAAAGTGTCTTTTGAATCTTTGTATTACCAGTGCCGGTGAATCGCTTCATTAATCCACCCGGAGTTCCTTCCCGTAAGTATTCAAAATCTGTAATGATGATGTTGTGAAGGTTTCCTGAGCCAAATGCCTGGACTAGTGCCGCAGCTGCTTGAAAGATCACTGTTCCTGTCCTTTTGAATCCCCGTCTTCCTTACTCCTATCACATAGGCTCTTTTTTTGGTGCATTTGAAAAGGTGGAATACTTTTTGGTTTCAAAACTGTTACCAAATTCTCCTTCAGGTATATCGTTTCATCCAACACGACCATGGGTTTTGGCATCTTTGCACAGTGGCGTAATCCAGTTGTGGGACTATAGAATGTGTGTATTGCTCGACAAATTTGACGAGCACGATGGTCCCGTCAGAGGTATTTGTTTCCATCAAGACCAGCCAATATTCGTTTCCGGAGGAGATGACTATAAAATAAAGGTGATCTGTTGAACAAATCATTGATCCGCCCATATATCTGTGGTTGTGAAAATCAATTCAGGTGTGGAATTACAAGCAACGCCGTTGCATTTTCACCCTTCTTGGTCATCTTGACTATATTCGCTCGACATTCTTCCATCACAAATATCCATGGATTATTTCGTCATCAGATGATCAAACTGTTCGTATTTGGAATTGGCAATCGAGAAATTCGATAGCTATTCTGACTGGTGGGTTTTTTTGTGATTATGTGTCAGCGAAATATTCCTCGTTCACGTTCTCGTGAATTTGAAACACTGGATTTGAAAACGTGAACAACTCTGTTTGTGAATTTTATCTCGCTTCTTGGTTTACCGAGGCGCTGTGAATAAAAACCTCAGGTGCTGTTCGGCTCGGTGGGAAGATTGGTTCCACTTTGGCTAATTCTTTTTGCTAGCTCATGGTAATTGAAAATATGAACTCCTTAAGCTCCGAAGTGCAACTAAACCACCTCAGCTACAGGAATTTGCAGGTCTTAGCGAGGCAGGGTTTGTTGGTTACCACTTGATTCCCTTCCTAGTCGAACTGCTCCAGGCCTCATTTTTTCCAGAAAGGTGCCAAAGTTGTCATTAGAATTCAGCTGGACCTAGTTGCATTGATATCACAGAAGTATATAACTGAGCAAGAACCACTCGGCGTTCAAGCGGGACTCGAACTGCTAGCGTTTACCAGGGCGTTGCTTTCGTATGATGGTCGTTCATGTCACGCTCTCACGCCTCTCAGCTCGAATGGGATTCTGTACCACAGGCTTCAGCAAGCGGTCATTCTTTTTCGGGCATACACAGAAGGGGGCCGTGCCCAGTGAGGCGGTGAATTGCGGGCAGAAGTCTCAAGATAAGCGTCAAATGTTATCCGCTCATAGGCGGCATTCCTTAATGAAAGTGGTGACTAGTGAACATCAGTATCATAATGAGATACTAGGGTTGGAAGGAAATATTGCAGATTTTAAAGAGATGGCTGGATTAGATTTTCAGATTAATCGCGGGAGTTAGCAGTCAGATTCGCGCAAAATTCGGTGAGAGACGACTCTGATGGGCGCCGCCCGTTTTGCTCGTCTAATTGTTTGATATCTCATGTTTCACAGAGTGCAAGGACTAGTGGAATCAGATTCCCCGCCAAAATCGTTTTTCTGGGTTTCGTGTATACCACCACAACAATACTCCATTGTAGACTCTGATCGCTTGCAGCTTTAGCTGTGAAGTGCAGGCAGCGGTGTTAATTTCCATATTTGTAGGCAGCACTTCAAAGCCTTTTAGTAGCGCCATTCGAGGTTTCATGTGGAGTTGAATTTCCTTGTCTGATTAGATATCTGTTGATGACCCTATGTACCAGACTGACTGTTTTTCGTGCTTTGTCTTGTTCCCATTAGATAATGAATTCTCTCCAACTTATTTCATTGATCAACGTCGTCGGAGGCTGTGTAGTGGCTAGAGCATCGCTTTTCCGGCCCCGAGTATGGTTTAAATAGGCTATCCGCGGCCCAGCCAGGCAAAGCGTTCCACGATTAGGGCGCGTCTGCAAATTTGTATTTCGAGGTCGCTAGTAAATATAAATAACTTCCTTCGCTTATTTTCTTTGAACGTGGGCTGCTCTTACTCCATCGATTTGGACTTTATCCTAACTGTTCTTCATCTACCAGAGGTTCTGGTACCCTGTCATTTTTATTACCTTCTTATTCTTTCTTCTTTACATTCGATTATACTTATCATTCGAAAAATTTTCCTGTTCTAGGACATAATCACTACGTGATGTGTGCACAGTTTCACCCTTCTGAAGATCTCGTAGCATCGGCTTCACTTGACCAGACTGTACGTATTTGGGACATCTCCGGATTGCGTGAGTTATACTATGAAATTCTAGTTGATATTTACTTGTTAGGTTTTTACTCTGCATGGGAGGAACTAGAACAGTTCCAATCGCGAAAATCTTTTGATGTGAGTTTACGAAGTGTTGGAGGCGCCGAACTTTGGTTCTAAACTGAAGCTCAAGATATCCAAAAGAAATTGTCAAGAAAGTACCGCTGCGATATGTTTTTTTTTTCAACGATTCAGTTTTTTTCACAGCGAAAGAGACAGTCTTACCTGTGGTGGTGGCGGCAGTGCGCCCAGATCAGGAACGGGACCGCAGTCACAGGCTGACTTGTTTGGACAGCCAGATGTTGTCGTGAAGCACGTCTTGGAAGGCCATGATAGAGGTATCATTGTAGTACTGCTAGAGGTAGTAGAGTTATATGTGAAGAGTACAGATTCCACTGGTGGCGTTTATAATCTAGGGTGTGAACTGGGTAGCTTTCCATCATTCTATGCCCATTCTCGTCTCAGGATCAGATGATCGTCTAGTCAAACTGTGGAGGTACAATGAATCTAAAGCCTGGGAGGTATGCGTGTATTCGGCAACATATGTATCGATGGTAGTGCAGTTCTCGTTTGAATGAATCTGAAAGTTCCTGATTCAGGTGGACAGCTGCCGCGGTCACTACAATAATGTGTCGTCTGTTCTATTCCATCCGAAAGCTGAGTTGATTCTTTCAAACTCTGAGGATAAATCGATTCGAGTTTGGGATTTGCAGAAAAGGACAAGTCTTCATGTTTTCAGGTTTGCTACCCACAAAATATTCCTGGCAGAACATTCTTCAAACGTTCCAATTAACTTTATAGACACGAGAACGAGCGATTCTGGGTGCTGTCTGCTCATCCAAATCTCAACATGTTCGCTGCTGGTCATGATAATGGCATGATTGTCTTCAAGATTCAACGTGAAAGACCGGCTTACTGCATTGCTGAGAATCTCGCATTCTATGTCAAAGACAAGCAACTTCGTCGTCTTGATCTCACTACCAAGTAAGGATTTTCGGAAGCCCTTGCTTCTTTCTGAAGTTGCTCGAATAATTTTTTTTTGTTTCTTGCTAACACTCGTAGGTTACCTTAGCGACATAAGCCCCAAATCCCTGAGATGCGGTAAGCGTTGCTTCGTATTATTTGAACCTAACGGCACTTGTGCTGTTGCTGGGATTCGACTTTGGCAAGTTGTAGGGCTCAGAATTGTAATAACATAAGGTAGTAAAGCATTAATCAAAAAAGTAACAAAAAGCGCCGCAAGAACATAGAATAAGACCCTGTTCGATCGGACGCATCTGGACGAGTTTCGCAGATTTTGGGTGAGTTCTCCAAAACCCGTCGCCACCTCGTTGCGGCTAATTCTCATGAGGCCACTACCTAGGTTGTTTCAAAGTTAATCTATCTAATATAATCTAATCTATCTATGAGTTAATCTCTCTATCAGTGTACGAAACGAACGCTAGAAATTTAGCGATTATCAATGCCAGCGAGGATTGATAACGGAAAACCAATCGAGGCGGGATTAACACGACAGGCGGGGTCAGCTTATCATTGTTGACTCCGCCTTCGTCTATCAATCGATTTCGAGTCCCAGGAGTGGGATATCCTCTGTGGTTGCGGACCTTGTACAGTACAGCGGTTTCTTCACCTTGGTTGATCGCGGACGCTGTCTTCAAATTGAAATATCCCCGACCAACGCATCCTACACCAGGTCCAGATGAAGTACGCGACCACGCCTACCGCGTCTCAGGGATACGCAATTTAAATTGATTTCTTGTGATATTTTGTGCGATAAACCAGCAGTTAACCCAAAAAGTCAATCCACATCAGATTATCCAATGAATTTATGTTTTTGCAATCTTTTATCTGACAGGCTTGTTCCGCATAAATAAAGGAATTTGATGTCGTTATTGAGGTTTGAGTAGTGTAGAACTACCAATGAATCCTCTTTTCAGCAAAGACCAAGGAACTTGCAAACTCTCGTGCGGTCGGCTGCCATTCCATGCAAAACCTTATTATGCCTTGTCATACAATCCAGCCGAGAACGCCTTTCTGCTCACTAGCCGCTCTCACAACAAAGAGCAATGCTTCTACGACATCTACAGAGTTGGTTTTCCCTGTCGCTTATTATCTTATATTTATACTTACGCAGTTCCTTTTGTGGACTGATTTGTGGGTGTAAGGGTAATGACTCTACGCAGAAAGACGGCGAGAGAAAGTTGCAGGAATGAGAGCGCCAATAGATTGATGGTACATTTTTTTGTACTTTAGAGTTCTGTTTCTGGCTATGGTTTTCGAAGTTTGTTCTGCATGTTAAGGATTCATTTTTGAAGAAAACGAACGAACGAACTTTTACCGCAGTTGGCAACTCCCTAAAGGCAAGCCGTACCCTCACATCCAATAGTCCTTGTCATGAGGGAGGTGAATTGGATCCACAGCTGCACCAGTGTGCCATTTTCTCGATCAGAACTGCCCAGTGAGCGTGTGGCTGGCAGCCTCCAGCCCTGTTTCGGTGCCTATTTGAGTGGAGAAAGTGGCACGCTACTGCAAAACGCTACTGCAAACCTATTTACCTTGCCTACGGCAAGGATCGGGGTGCACGGAGGTGATTGTACAGTTTTGTAATTGCGGCTTCGAAAGTATCACTTAGTTGAGTACTGC